GTAATCAAGGGCCTTGTACAGAGGAGAATGGATACAGTGATCAGTCCGCGGAGTTGGCAAGTACCAAGTACGAGAGTGGACGAAAATTATACGAAGGTTGCACGCTGCTAGCAGTATGCGGCGAGAGTATGTGAGGTGGGGCATAATTGTGGCGTTGTGGCGCAGAGAATGTGCGAAGAGTATATGTTTAACTTTAAAGTGTGAACATAATGTTGGCCACTTGATGGGATGCAAAAGGTGGGAGTGTTCTAAGTGTGTGTAAAGGGGAAGGTGGAGACATATTCTGGTGGCTTTCCGCTGGAGTCGTTCTAGCCTGTCAAGGGAAATGTGTGACAACGGTGTGAGAGCATTGCTCGCATATGAGAATATAGGTAGGATGTATGTCTGATAGATGGTGAGTGTAGACATTAGTGTAAAAAGAATATTGAAAGACTTGAGTGATTTTTCTGTCCAACGGAGGTCATGCTGAAAGATTATTCCGAGGTGTTTGTGTTTTTGTGCTAAGGTAAGCGGACCATTCCTGTGGGTGATCTGGGGTAGCTGTTCAGGGGGGGGGGGAGGGGGGGGGGGGCGGGGGTTGTCGTGGTAGAACGGGAGGATGACTGTTTTCTTCGTGTTAACCAGCAGGTGCCATCTTTGAAGCCAGTCTCCAGCTGCTGTGACACTCTGTTGTAGGTTTCGGGTGCAGTCTTGAAGAGTTCTCGCAATGGAAATCAAAGCGGTGTCACCTGCAAATCGGCTAAATAGGTGGTGCGGGGATTCTCATATGCGCGTGGAAGGTCTATGGTGTAGATGAGGAATAGAAGCGGCCCAAGAACAGATCCCTGAGGGACGCCGGCAGGGATCACGAGGAAAAGCGATAGGTCGCGATCCACCTGGACCCTCTGCCGACGCTTCAACATCTACGGTCAGAACCACTCCCATGTAACAACCATCATTGTACAGCCATCATTGTTGTTCGAGTAGACCCCGTAGGTTACCGTTTGCTAGGTCGATGTATTGTGTGCTGACCCGGCACATGTGAGCATGATGCTAGTACTGACTAGACACTGTTAGGACCTGTCTAGGCATGCGATTGTCTGTACCGTAGCATTAATCTAGTACATGCACGGCATGCAATACCTGCCGGATCATATGACGGAACTGGTTTGCTGATTGGCTGTAGGTCTGTTCGCTTTATCAGCTGTGCTTTTTTGTTATAGTACCAGTTTCACTTTGGAGAGGAGAGAGTTTTTTTGTCTCTTTGGAAAGGAGTTTTTTTTGTCCTGGAGAGAGGACAACAGCAGATTTGGTATGTCCGTGCCAAGGCACGATGATGTGTGCATACTATTAGTCTAGAGGTTTTCGTTCAGTTACGAAGAACAGAAATAAATACAGTGTTCTTTGGAGTCCAGATTCTGTGACCGAACAACTGGTCCTTCGAGCCGGATCCGAGTCCGAGGCAGTAATCGGAGTCGATGGAAAAAAGAACGAGCGTCAGGTCGATGAAGGGTAAGCCTCCTTCGCAATATGGAGAGTGGGATAGTGTCTCCCAAGTTTCCAAGAAATCCAGTAAGGAAGCCGAACTGGAACTCGTGGCCAGGATACGCGAGAGAGAGCAAGCTGCTTAGGAATTAGTCCAGCTGGAGGCTGAGGCGGTCGAAAAGAGATTGAAACTCAACAGAGAGTTGGTGATCAAGCGATTGGCTGCAGACAGAGCAGCGCTGGAGTTGGAGCTCTCAGAGAAAGGCTCCACCGCGAGCAGCCGCAGGAGTCGGAGAGATGAAAGTGCACGGAGACTGTCCCACGCAGGTGTTGGGCAAGGGCTCACGACAGAAGCACTTGTGCGCCATCATCAACTCCTTGAGAAGCTCAAAATTACCAGCGCAGAGTCTGGGAGAGCAGGGCGCGCCTTCAGCGTGGTGGACGCAGTTGACATCCAGCCGACCAAGCCAAGACAAACACCAGCTGGTAGTCTGCCTCCATGCTTGAGTGCTGTGGATGTGGAACGAAGAAGTCCCCAGGCCCAGAGCCGGCTACCACAGTCCATTGTCATTGATGGTCTAGTGAGCAGCGACAGCGCTAGCGGCAGTCAAGTACATGCAGGTATGTCTGGTATTAGTGCAGTGAATCCTGTGTTGCAGAGTAACAGTTTTGCCCCAGTAGCTGTGGCTAATACTAGTAACAACGCACAATACAGACCAGGAAAGAGGGTCACTGTGCAGTCCAGCTTTGCACCATTCACCACAACTAGTCTGAAGCCACAACTGCCCCAAGGCCCACAGTATCAGACACCAGCTAACCAGAAGTATCACCCTGCTGTGACATCTAAAGTGCAGCCAAGTAGCTACACAGTCCAGCAGAAAGTGCCTAGCCAGTTTGGACAGGCCAGAGTAGTGAGTGCAAGAGGTCAATCAGCCAGACCCACACGCGGCCAGCAGCCAGAATCCTGCAACTACTTTCTACTCACCGTATGTACAGCAGCAAAGTGCACCAGCAGCTGCACAGAGTCAGTTGGCTACGCAGTATAGTCAGCCAGATGGACAACGTCCATATACATCACCAGCTGCTTACCCTCATGCCGGGACATACAGATCCCATTTGAAGCCGTTGAAGCTACCGCAGTTTGACGGAGCGCCGGTGAACTATGTCCCTTGGAGACAGAAATTCATGAGTTTGGTGGGAACAGACCCCCACACAACTGAGCACTACAAGATGGCGAGACTGAGAGAGTCACTCGCCGGAGGGAGTGCCGAGGAACTCGTCCAGGACATTATGGACGGAACAGGCGCCTTTCAAGCAGCATTGGTGGAAATAGAAGCCTGGTATGGCGGTGAGGAGCGACAACTTGAGCGTCACGAGAAAGATATCCTGACTTGGCCCAAGATTGACAACGCTAAAGCCACCGACAAGCTAAAGCAGTTTGCTCTAAAGCTGCGGAGTACCCTGGTCAACATGAAGTTGTGTGGCATTGCTCCCGGCCGTGAACTGTACCTAGCAGCAACCCAGAAAATACCACCGACCCTCCTGCTGAGGTATTTTGAGCTGCACGAGGACCGGAACTGCGATGTTTGCAACTTTGCAGACTGGCTACTGAATCTGGTTCATATGCTGAGGAAGGTAGAGGAGAGGCAGGCAGAGACCCACAAGACACCCACATCAACGGCAGTGCTGCAGAAGTCACAGAGCCGACACGATCATCGACCACATAGAACGTTGGCAACTACAGCAGGAAATGAGACGCCAAAGGCCAGATGCAAGAAGTGCGGAGAGGGCCACGGCTTAGGCCGCGGTCACACCGAGCTCGATTCAGCCGTTCAGCCGAAACAAGCGCTTGTTTACGTCACTATTACCATGGAAATGGCTGAAAAATGTCCTACAAGCGACTTTCAGCCGTGGCTGACTCTCAGCCGTTTTTTTCCAGCTTGTTTCAGCCACAGCTTGTACAAGCGGCTGAAAGCCGAAATTCAAAAAATAATTTGAGTGCGCTTGGAGCTCCGGAGCACACCATGTAGCTAGTTGACATGATGAACTGATATTGATGTTCTCTCTTGTGTCCGTGGAACCGTGCTATCCCTGTGCCTTTGGTTTTGACCGTGAGTCTGTCTACCACGGTCTACCCCAACTACACTGTATTCAGTTTGATTTGGATTTTTGTCCGACGACCATGGATTTCTGCCGCTGTGCCTCTAGACTGCTGCGTAGATTGTTGGAGCTGTGGTTTGAGGCCAAGACAAGGCACCACACTCACGACCGAATTCATGAAGAAAGCCGGGTACGAATGTTGTACATGTGGGAAGAAGAGAGTGGATTGCAACTGAGTTCCATAACGGCAACCGGCGGGGCAGAAAGCTCGACATCAGGAAACACCACCCGAACCATCGTGTCTATGCACACCGAACAAATAAAAGAGCACGACTTCGCAATTCAGAATCCGGGCTTCCTTTGCTTCTTCATCAAAACTGAACAGTAGAACAAGTACAGTTTTAGATCGCGAACGTTCTGCTCTCCAGTTTCTTGCAAACATTGGTGTGTTTCGAGATATTCAAAATTTGGCGGGTAAGAAAAACAAGCCATTCAAGCTTTGCACTCAAGGTCTGGTGTGACCGCGTCACAGGGATCACGCAAGCCAGCTGAGCGCCAGCGATAACAAGCCCAAAGTGGCTTGTTTCGGTGTGACCGGGGCCTTAGCTGACTGCCGGGCATTTGCCACCTTGTCAACAGCAGACAGGTGGAAATTCGTTAAGCTGTTGAATGTGTGTACCTGCTGCCTGCGCGTTGCTGGCCATCGTTCTGCTGAGTGCAGGAGCAACCCATGTGCTAAGTGCGGTGGAAAACACCATGACATGCTCCACATTGTGAGACAACAGCAGAGCTACAGCAGGAAGACGGACAAAGAGCCAGCCAGCATGAATCAAAGCAATCGACTGGACAGTCCACAGCGAGGCGGTGGATCACGTGAGAAGCCACAGCGTCCATCCGACACAGCAGCGACGGCCACAGCAACCACCTGCACCGCTAACACTGGGGTCCATGTTGCATTCATGACTGTGCCAGTCAAGCTGCAACACCAAGACCAGATGTATGAAGCAGTGGCACTAATTGACTCGGCATCATCGACCAGCTATATCAGGGCTGACGTTGCTGAGAGCTTGGGTGTCAGCGGGCCAGATGAGCAGCTCACCACCTCAGTCCTAGGCGGAACGACAGTAACAGGCCGCCGGCAGAGAGTCAACCTGACCATCCACAGTCATGATGGTGACTACAGCACGGCGTTCCAAGCATGGACCCAGCCCAACATCACAGCTCCGCTACCGGCCGTTGACTGGCATCAGATGAGCTAACAATTCCCCCACCTCCAGCAACTACCGCTACCACAGGTCGACTCGCGGCAGGTAGACATCCTGATTGGTATCGATGTCATTGACGTACACCGAGTGCTGGAGGAGGCCACTGGGCGTGCGGGAGAGCCCATTGCACGCCGTCTACCACTCGGCTGGGTTTGCTTTGGGCCGGTGGACATGCCGACGGGTGCCACATCCGAGTGCACGCTGCGCGCATCTGCAGTATGTGAGCCATTGCTCGATACACTGGTCGCTAAGTTCTGGGAGGATGACCAGGTGGGCATGCAACCACAATCTGACAAGACGATGGCTGAGATAGAAGCAGAGCACCTCGTGGCTGACAGGATGAAAATCACTGATGGTCGTGTCACGACAGGCATCCCTTGGATTCGGCCAGACCACCAGCCACAGCTGCCGCCAAACCGAGCCATGGCAGAGAAGCGGCTGATCAGCCTCGAGGGATCTCTTCTCAAGAAGCCGGACATCCAAGCAGAGTACGACAGAGTCTTCGAATCATACACCGACAAGGGATATGTGGTCCGCTGTGAGGATAGTGCCGCCAGAGACGGTGACCAATGGCTACTACCGCACTTTCCTGTCGTGCGCCACGACAAGGCGACCACGAAAGTGAGGGTTGTCTTCGATGCAGCGGCTCGTCAGCGGGGTGTGTCTCTCAATGATGAGATGTACACTGGTCCGAAACTGCAACATGACCTGATTCACGTCCTACTCAGGTTCTGCCGTGAACCGGTTGCGATCGTAGGAGACATTGCAGAGATGTTCCTGCAGGTCCAGCTACAACAGAAAGATCGGCGGTACGTACGCTTCTTGTGGCGCAAGTCGACAGACGAGCAACCATCCATTTACGAGTTTACTCGGCTCGTGTTCGGACTGAAGACATTGTTCATCGCCTGCCGAGCTCTGAGGGAGGTAGCCGCACAGCATGGGGAACAGTACGACTCAGCAGCCCGAGCAGTGGTCAAGGAATCGTTCTACGTTGACGATTTCCTGAACTCACAACCATCAGTACCAGCCGGCATCTCAGTACGGCAGGGGGTGCAGGACCTGCTCCACATGGGCTCGTTCCACCTGCGGAAATGGCGCAGTAACAGCCGTGACGTGCTCCGTTCTATCCCGGAGGCCGACCGAGCAGCCGACGCACTGGTGAGCATCGATGATTGCAGCGACGCCGCATCAGCGGCAGTCGTGAAGACACTTGGTGTCGTGTGGGACGCAGCGTCTGACACGTTCAGCTATCGCTACAACACACCGGACGACCAGCGGCTGACGAAACGAAGCGTCCTATCCAAGATGGCCAGCATCTATGACCCAAGAGGGCATATTTCGCCGTTTACGATAAGGGCTCGACTGCTGTTCCAGGAGGCATGCATTCTCGGCTGTTCCTGGGATGACCGTCTCCCATCAGAGCTGGAGACCAAGTGGCAGAGGTGGTTTGCAGAACTACCAGATCTAGCTGGGATCAAAGTGCCACGATGCTTCAAAAGCATGGAGCGCCAGGCTGACACCGCGAAGCTCACAGTACATACCTTCACCGATGCCTCGGCGCACGCCACTTCAGCTGTCAGTTATGTCCGCGCGGCGTATCCGGATGGCTTTGTGAAGGTCAGCCTTGCATTCGCCAAGGCGCGGGCAACCCCAATCAAGAAAGTCACCATCCCTAAGTTGGAGTTGCAAGGTGCAGCACTTGGCCTGCGCACCAGCAAAGTTGTCAGCCAAGCCCTCGCTATTCCTGTTGCTGAACATGTGTTCTGGACCGATTCCCTCAACGTCGTGTACTGGGTGAGGAGCCATGCCAAGAACTTCACTTCAGATGTCGCCTGCCGGGTCGGTGAGATTCAAGCCGACACCAAAGCTAGCCAAGCTGAGGGCAGTTAGAAGCACTATGGGACGAAGATTTCCAGGTGGTCCCTTCTTTTTTTTAGGCTTTTGAAGAGCAATCAGTGTGCCTAGGCCGAGGTCTAATGGCTGATGGGTTTCGAAGACCCTGTTCAACAGGCGGATCATAGCCTCCAGGAGTTTCTCACCACCATATTTCAGGAGTTCGGCCATTCAGTATCAACTTACTGTGAAAGCAGAAATTTTCGGTGGTGTTTTATTTTCGGTAACTTCGGTGCCGACAATTTTTACCGAAAATAAAACGCACCGAAAATTTCGGTACAACCGATACTGTGTACAGAGCTCTTTTGCCCCGTGATCCGCTGCAAAGAAAAGACGGTATGCCTTAAACCGATTCAAAACAGTACAGATATGATGAGTACAAGGAACAACGTACCAGCACAAACAACACGGTGATGTGCTGCTTCCACAACAAAGTTTTGCTGATATCCATCCCGAAAGAATAAACCGACAGCTTCTCTGCCATTATAAAGTGTCCACATAAAAACACCTTTGACCTCAAATCTAGGAAAATGATACGTTACAATATGACGAGGCCAGGGTTGAAGTATGTCGTATAGGCAATGGCCGGTAAGAAGATTCCCATTATATTGCCGAATTGTGGGCAGGTCCATTCCCGATGACTGGCACATCTTACGGGCTTCAGAGGAATTCACGAGTGCTCCATATCCTTGTCGATAGTAAAGGGTCACATTTTCGCAGCGCACTCGATTGGAATAGCTTTCAGCTCCTGCAGAAATAAGGACACCATAATGAGTGTCAATATCACAATGTATCAGCGGATTTAATGGAAAAGTATGTTAATGAAGAAGCTATTAAGGGGGCAGGCAGTCTGGTCGTAAAATCCCTGAAAAATCGAATTTGTTAATTCATATTGTGTGCTACATCAGTTGAAAGAGCATGACCAGCTGCACAATCTCTGAACATTTTGTCTCGATCTGACCAGGCATTCAAGAGTTATGGCCGAAAATGTGCCCATGCAAGGAAAGATTTTTTCTTGTACTCTGTCATTTTTTTGCAGCACTGTATTTGAATTTGAGCAGACCGTGCGCAACTTGTCGTATCATGGAAACACGCGAAAGTGTGCAGAATTTTGCTCCAAGTCCAAAAAATCACGTTTTTTAGCCGTGTATTGGGTTGCATGACGGCGGATGAAGCCCGCCGCCGTGCAGCAGGACCTTTGCCATCACACTCGTGCCGTTGCAGATATGTGGCTTGATTATTTTTGAATTCTTTATTCTCACGATGGCACCATCGCCAATAAGAGATAAATATAATTATGAGAAGGTGAGATTGTGGGTTAAACAGTTGGAAAGTGATTTACATCACTTTGAACTTTACAAGTATGGGAGAGGGTGAGCGCTGCAGGAGCAGATTGAGTTAATCAGCAGTGAGCAGATTTCTTGTTTGAAAGCAGGTCGGGAAGAGACGTCACGAATGCTAGCAGGGAGGGCATTGTAGTATTCTAGGGACTTGTACAGTGGGGAGCCTTTACAGCGATCGGTTTTGGAGGGTGGGAGGTGCCAAGTGCGTGCGTGTCGAAGGCTGTACTGGGCCATAACTTGTTGCAGTTGACGTTGATTTAGTGACTTAGGCAAGTTTGAGTCGTGTCAAGAAGTCAGGTAGGATTCAGTACTAGGCAGTAGTGGAACATAAGTGATAGTCTTTGCCGATTTTTGAGGGTATCCTGGATTTGGTGTGCAAGGCTGTGGAAATGGCATCCTGTGGAGGTCCCAGCACTGGATGTTGTATGAAAGGTACGACCTCGTAGCATGTGCTTAACCTAAAAAAAATCAAAAGTTGACTTTGGTCTGTGGGAGTCTGTGAGAGAACGCCCACTCGTTCCGTTCTGACCGATTCCAGGGCCACGTTGAGGGGCCCTATCCCACCACCCATGGCTTCTTTTGCACATTTTTTAGGTTTGAAACTCTATAGCTGGAGTTTGGCGTTGTGGAGACTTGTGCATCAGTTCATAGTATTTTTGTCGCTGCAGCTTTCCAGGAAGGTCTAGATCGAGTAAATTGGAGAATGGATACCTGAGTTATGAACATTTTGGGTGTCGTGTGTTTTCAGTAAAATGATCCATTTTCGCTGGTCGGTAGTGGATAGGTGGCAGCACTATTCCCGTGCAATGGTAAAAGACTGAATCTCTAGCAAAGGCTTTCATACTTTAAAGTAGACAATGTATCCTAAGCCATGCTGTAACATAGAATATGTGTGACCAACCTCGACAAATAGGCATTTCAGTTAGCGCTACTTGAGCAGTGCATTGAGCGGTTGCTGGGCCCACCAGTTCATACCCAGTATTGCATTGATACTGCACACTTTCACCAATGTGGATGGAGGTAACGTTCACGCTGCCAGAAACTGGTGCCGAAACATTGCATTTCACAGCAACTGCAAGAAGACAAAGGGAAATTTAGGAAAGTCTCATCAGGATTCAATGGCGGAAATACATCTTTCCTTCAGAGAGCATTATTCGTAGATTGACAACACAATAATGTTCAAGCTTCCTGTACACTACTTCCTCCGCAGCATCGAAATTGTAGCAGTTTTCCTAGTGACTTGTATATTTGAAACTCGGATGTTGAGCCATAAATAAATGTAAAAGAGAAAAGGACATATGGATACGAGTTTAGAGTAACTCTCTATCACTGTAACATGATACTATATACAGTCAGAAAGTGCAATAACTAGGCACAAAACTGACAGAGTACTGAGACATTCGACGTCCTGACACCATGAGCCGTCACGAACCATACGGCGAAACATACGTCGTGTGAAACAACTTGTTTTGTAGTCAACTAGTCCATCACAATGTCATGCATGAGGAGTACGTACTGTAGGAGTTTGGCTTTCGGCTCGTACAATTCGTTTTCGCAAAGCTTCCCTTTCTTTACTTATCTTTGATATTTATGACCCACCCAAGTTGGGTGGTGTGCTGCTTTGCTGCTTCGAATTGTAGTTAGACCGCTTTGTCAAATATCGTACTGGTCTCGTCATCGTCCAGTAACAATCGACATTCTTTGTTCCGTTGGGACTGTAGCTTTTGCTCGTTTTCGTTGCGCTTGCCTTCCCCTCTTTGGTCTTTCCATAACCTTGAACCTTCCAAGTTGGAAGGCTGTCGGTTAGCGCTACGGAGATGTGTTAAAGTTAGGTGTCAGGACGTCGAATGTCTCAGTACTCTGTCAGTTTTGTGCCTAGTTATTGCACTTTCTGACTGTATACAGTATCATGTTACAGTGATGGAGAGTTACTCTAAACTCGTATCCATATATCCTTTTCTCTTTGACTTGTATAATTATTATTAAAATTAATTGAAACACAGGAAAAATTTGGGCAGCAAGTTTTGCGTTAGAGTTCACCAACTACCCAGATTGGGAACAGTCAAATGTGCACAAGGTAAAGCCAGTCTGACAGGGAGTACTGAGACATTCCACGACAAAGGAAGTGAGCTTTGAGCACGAGTCGATAGCGCTAACCAACAGCCTTCTAACTAGGAAGGTTCATGGATATTAGTGATAACTGCTTTTTTTGCCGTGGAATGTCTCAGTACTCCTTGTCAGTCTGGCGCTGCCTTGTGCCCATTTGAGTCTTCAAAATCTGGTTTATTTCGTGAACTCTAACCCATAACTTGTGCCCCAAAATTTCCCTTGTTTCCACATTTAATATTTTCCTTGCCTCACCATCTAAGTACTGATGTGTAAATAGTTACAGATAACATTGGAAGCTACAACAAACGAGAATTATTGCACAAGATGATTGCCTGAAGTCTAGAATAACGTCCCAGGACTACACTCTGTCGGACTGAGAGATTCACGTGGAGCTGAAGGCATCGTTGCTGATATTAATGGACAAAACAATATCGTTCCGAACAATCAAGTTCCAGGAAGGTTGAAATTTGGTCGCGCCTAGCCTCACACACTTTGAATTTCTCCACAGGACACGAGCTCCTACGCATGGCGCCTGCTCTGGCTGATTAATCATGAGCAGATGTTTCTACCATCATCCAAAAGGCTAATCCCATTTCCTCGAGCGAACCCACCAATGTCGCCAAGCGATTTTCAGGCATTCTGCTTGATACAAATTTCCAGTCCCTCTCTAGCCCCAACAATGTCCTTGACATTCTACTTCATCAACAACTCAGTACATTTGCAAAGAATACAAGATCATTGCGAGATCTGCGCTGGCTGCGGAACTACCTCTGTCTTGAAATGACCTTTTTTAGCCGTAACATGCCCAGTGCACTTCATTGAATTTAGCTGTGTAAGTTTGGTTGCTGCTGATGGAATAAAAGGCATGAGTTTTTTTAGTGATGGCTATGAATCAGAGCGGCCACGTTGTCCGACAGGCTGTTGTAAAATGATGCGTTGTTTTTCTGTGTGATGGCATTCCCCAAACTGTCTCGTCTAGTCGCGTGCATGTGTAATTATGAGCATGCGCGATTTTGTAGTTGAGAGTCCTTTTGTCAGTCTTCTTGTTCGTCTCTGTCAGAGCAGTTTGCTTTTCCGTCTTGTCAATATAAATGCTGTAACAAACAAGTCTTGTCCTTTGTGTCCTGCGGCCTGGGTAACGGAATGGCTGTGATTCCATAACAAGGCCAAAACATCATACCAGGCACTGATGTCAGCAACTTACATCTCCTACATCAAGAACAAGAAGCCACGCGGACGCCCCCCCCCCCCCCCCCCACCCCCCACCCCCCTCCTCGTGTTGCATCGACAATGTCCGAAAAGATCTCGAGGCGTCAAACTTACCATCAGGAACGCCCAGACCCAAGCCCATGCAAACAGTGGCAAGAAACTGTCAACGGATCAGCGGCGTAGCAGCCGCACCGGCCGGTCCGGCTTTGGCCGGACCATTTGTTGCGCCCGACCACGTTTTTTTAAGGCCCTGCAAGGATGCTTGGCATGCATCAGTGGGTTGTACGACTCCGTAGCCTGCCCAAGGGAGTCCTACAAGTGCACAGTACATACATGCACGGTTACCTAGTGTAGCTGTATGGCCTAGACCAGGGAGTTAGACCAGGGAGTTAGACCAGGGAGTTAGACCAGAGAGTTAGACCAGGGAGTTAGACCAGGGAGTTAGACCAGGGAGTTAGACCAGGGAGTTAGACCGGGAGTTAGACCAGAGAGTTAGACCAGTGTGTTAGACCAGGGAGTTAGACCAAGGAGTTAGACCAGGGAGTTAGACCAGGGAGTTAGACCAGGGAGTTAGACCAGGGAGTTAGACCAGGGAGTTAGACCAGGGAGTTAGACCAGGGAGTTAGACCAGGGAGTTAGACCAGGGAGTTAGACCAGGGAGTTAGACCAGAGAATTAGACCAGTGAGTTAGACCAGGGAGTTAGACCAGGGAGTTAGACCAGGGAGTTAGACCAGGGAGTTAGACCGGGAGTTAGACCAGGGAGTTAGACCAGGGAGTTAGACCAGGGAGTTAGACCAGGGAGTTAGACCAGGGAGCTAGACCAGGGAGTTAGACCAGGGAGTTAGACCAGGGAGTTAGACCGGGTGTTAGACCAGGGAGTTACACCAGGGAGTTACACCAGGGAGTTAGACCAGGGAGTTAGACCAGGGAGTTAGACCATTGCCATCAAGAACATCGGCAGCGTCATTCACGTATATTAGAAACAACGTGGGGCCCAATATACTGCCTTGGGGCACCCCTGCAGAGATTGGGTAGAGAGAAGAAATCTGACCGCCGACTAAGCGCTGGAGTGAACGGCCGTCAAGATGAGACGATAGCCAGCTATGGAGAGTGCCAGTAATGCCGAGCTGCCGGACCTTGTAGAGGAGGCCCACGTGGGAGACCCGGTCAAAGGCCCCGGCTATATCGACTGCGAGAATTCGTGCCGCGCCACCTTGGCCAACATTGTCCACCCAGGCGTTATGAAGTGCTTGTAGTGCGTCTGCCGTGCCGAGACCTCTACGGAACCCAAACTGGTTGGGAGTGAGGAGCTGCTGGCGCTCAAGATGTGTTGTTGTTGTTTGGCTTTATTTAAAGTGGAGTTCCAAAACAGGCCTAAACCTAATGACAATGGTCCCACTGATAATAAGAGAAAAGAAAAATATATAATAATAAGCGGACAAACAGAACCAAGAAGAAGATACAGCTGTAGTTAGATAACTAATTTGAGCACGGCAGCAGGGGAAAAAAAGTCACAAGCACGGCAACCGGGAAGAAAGGAGTGAGTGAGTGAGAGAGAGAGAGAGAGAGAGAGAGAGAGAGAGAGAGAGAGAGAGAGAGAGAGAGAGAGAGGGAGAGAGAGAGGTAGTGAAGCAGATGAGCTCATCCTAGTTGGCGGTACTGCCTAACAGAAAGGCCAGGCTTAGCGATTTGAAAGTGGAGCGCTTTCTTTCGAGGCATGCTGTGTCTGGGAGCTGGTTCCACAGGATAGCTCCAGCATGGCTAATGCGCTTAGCTGAGGATGCAGTGGGGGAGACAGGAATGATGAGTAACTTGCTGCTCCCTCCTCGTGTTCGGAGAGAGGGACTACGGGTGAAAAAGCTTGCAAACAGAGTACTTGAAGATTTGTTCAGGCAGCGCCAAATGAATACAAGAATGTGCATGTGGGTGTATATGCTGAGGGTATGGGCATTCATGCGTTCAAGTAAGGGAGCCGTGTGAGTGCGAGGGGCTGCCCTGCACACCGAGCGAGCCGCACGTTTGAACAAACTATTTAGGCGCTTATCCTGATAAGACGATAAGAAAGGGGCATAGGCAGCAGATGCATAGTCAAATTCTGATAGTATAAAGGACCTGAAAAACTGAACACGGCAAGAAAAAGGCAAACATGCTGCACTTCGATTTAGTAGCCCAATCTTAGTGGCAACGCGGCGTGCAACATGGCTTGTCATGGTGTTCCAGCTCATGTCTGAGTCGAAATGTAGGCCAAGATACTTGGCCGTTTTCACAACAGGCAGCGTCTGCCCATTACAAATGACATGCAGCTCAAGTGCTTGAGATGGGGATGGGGGAATAGGCAATATCTGTGTCTTTCTTTCATTAAGAATTAAACCACGGCCCTTCAGCCAGGTGGCCAGGTGCTGAACAGCAGCTGAAAGGTGTGCAGAAACAGCTTCCGCAGACTCCCTGCTACATCGTATAGAGATGTCATCAGCAAACTGAATTGCTCCCACATTAAACGGCGATAGTTCTTCTGCTATGCCGCGGGCATAGACAATAAATAGCAGTGGGCCCAGTACCGACCCCTGGGGGACACCTGAGTAACTGGTGTACGGGAGACTTCTAGTCTGGCCAACCTGAACGTACTGTTCTCTATCAGAGAGGTAATCCACCAGCCAACAGAGTGCCGTGTCGCAGATGCCAAGTTCGAACAGATCTTGCACAAGAGTTTGATGTTTCACTTTATCGAATGCCTTTGACATATCAACAAAGGC